GTGTGTATCCTCGGTCATGGAGGACTCAAATCCTCCATGACCGAGGTGCTTGGTCATGGAGGAGTCCAAGCCTCCATGACCGAGGGTGTATCCTTGGTCATGGAGGAGTCAAATCCTCCATGACCGAGGGTGTATCCTCGGTCATGGAGGTTTCACTCCTCCATGACCGAGGATATATCCTCAGTCATGGAGGTTTCACTCCTCCATGACAGAGAACCTTTGTCATGGAGGGTTTCACCCCTCCATGACCATGCCCCTATGTTAGGGATATAAGGCGGTACCCGCAGCGGTACCCGGGTACCGCCTTGTTTTTGCCAAAAAACCGACACCCGGCACCGCACCCGGCACCGCCTGGCGGGTGCGAGGCGGGTGCGGGCGGTACCCGCCGAGCGGTACTAGGTACCTAGCAACGGGTACCGACGAACGATCTCTATTCTGGCTGACTGGTCCGTGGTTCATTCAGGGGGCTGATCCTGGCATGATCTTTGTTGAAGCTGCCAAACATGAACCGGTTCCCAGACAAGAACAGCGTCCTCATCCTCGATAACGTGTCATTGCACCATGGTGGTAATGTAGCCAGGCTGTGCGAGGACCGAGCGGTCTTACTAGTCTATCTCCCCCCATATTCTCCTGATATGAACCCCATTGAGAAGGTATTCTCAGTTTTGAAGTCCCAGCTCAAGCGTCGACAAATACTCACTGGAACCGCCGAGGACGCAGATATCATCAAGCATGTATTACCCGAGATAGTTACGCCAGAGCTTATGGCAAGCTTGTTCCGCGGGTCTAACTACGCGGCCTGACTTGAGGCTTGGGAATGTCTGCTTGCTTGCAATTCTTTTGAGCGCTGTGATCTTGTACCGCTTGTTTTCTTGTTTCTTGTTTGGAGGGTGTCTCGATGCGAGTTTTGTTTCCCATTTCGCGGCATGAATACCACCAATGAAGATTCATGTTGACAATCCGTCCTGAGCTTATCTAAGGCCTAAATCTTCTGTGCTAGCCGTATTATATTGCCAAACAACCTGTTCAGTACATAGGGAGTGATTGGCTTGGATAGGCCCCCTGAAGACCGCAAGTCCGCCATTGGGTTTAGCAGGGCTGGTTGAGGGTGCCGTGTCTTTTTTTTGACAAGTCACCTTTTCCCCTGGGCGAAAGGGGGGGGGGATGGCCTGTGAGAGACCGGACTCTGGAACTTTGGACTGAACCAGAGGCCACCAAGTCGCACAAGGTAATCTCGGACTGTGAGGTCATACTCATTATCATGTATTGCAAATGAAAACAAGCAAGCGCGGTGGGTGATGTAATTGCAAAAGAAATATCTGGCAACCCTGCCCAAAATGACCATGTCTATAGCTACTGATATGTCACGACCCTAAGATCGGTCTACAACTAGAGAGCTGGAGCCCTGAATACTTGATGAGATATCAAGATAGAATGACTTGTGTCATTTGATGAGAAGAAATGACCGCGGTGGGTCTACAACTAGAGAGGTTTCCCCCTTGGCGACAAAATAGAAATGTATGAATGAGGAGATACTATGGCCTCTTCAGGCCCACTCCGGAGGCACTCGATCTCCTCGGGTGCACGATGACACATTACTGCTCTAATAGATCGGCCCGGAGGCTTGTCGCGCCATAGATTATTTGACGGGCAGTTGCCTCGGGGAAGCTCAATAGACAAGGTCTCGGTGGGTCAGAGTTAGGAACGAGGTCCAGTGAGCTATATGGTTCAGCTGAATGAGGC